CGCATATCTGGTTTATACTATGACTCCTAGTAGCCTACTGATGTATCGAGTCAGTGCTACTATCTTTCCAGACAAGTTTGGTACCAACTTACCGAATGTGGAGTGAGGGAAGGCTTGGTGAGCCAAAGGCACAGCATCGTTCTCGTGTGAACTGCAGGACGCCTTTAACCACTGCACTACACGTGCTAGTTTATATAAACTTAATCTTTTACTAGGAAATTACAATCATTATCCTCAGAAACTGTCTATATAGAACGCACTTTTTATTTCGCTTAAGTCTGGATGTATAAGAAACCGGCTTTCATTAAACCTCGGCAGAAGTAGTAACCAATACACTGGTTAATATTTTTGTAGAGGTTTGTGGAAAGTCGGTTTTTAAAATATTGGTGACGCTCTGTGTCAGCTAATTAAATACCAACTGCTGCAGGATGCATTTCCACCAAAAGTGCAGATCATACTGAATAAGGCAGTGGATCAACGTCTGTCCTGTATAGGAAGGACACTGTCGAGTTAGATTCCTCATTCAATCTGTGTTCCAACTCACTGGATTCAACAGGATGCGACGACAGCCACAATGCAATGGCAACCACCTGTGAACCATAGACTCGGATCGATCCGGCTCTGAAGAAGGCGAGGACGTCGAAATTTCGGCAGAGTAGATCATTTTTTTAGTCAACCTCGTGTAAGCTTAATAATCGAAGACATGTTTGCAAATGGTTCAGCTCCATCACAAAAGGCCTGAGCACTCGCTGGTCGCTATCCTACTTGTAAGCCTCTCTCCAACACTCGATTTTGCGTCCGCCTGAACGGTTATATTTTTTGATTTTGGTCAACTTTTCACCAACTCTTCCAATGGAAACCCCGATGTTCTTCCAGGCTAATTAAGTAACCAGGTGCTGTCGTTTAACCACTGGCTGTATCTTTTGATGAAAACAAAATTACAGAAGAAAATTAGAATATAGGACAGCAAACTACCAAATTAATGATTAAATAGAAACTTATTCATGGATCACCTGGGATCACGTATATATTCGGAGTGAGTCGCCTCGCCTTTAGCTCTCCATTAGCATCCTGCTTAAGACGTTTGTAGAGAAACTTGTCCAAATTGCTACCTCCACTTGCGCCATAATATTCATCTGTTTCTTCGTCTTCTTCTTCGGCACTCATTTCACTATTTTTACAATTTTTTGATTGTTCATGAACTCGCCGCAGCAGCAATTTTTCATAATCATCAGCACAATCATCATAAGAGATGCCACCAATGCAGGTGCAACACCACAAAAGTATCGGCCACCACATTTGTCTAAAAAAACCCGGCATCAAGGGTGAGTGGAAAAGAAACACCAAAATAGGACAGGAATCCGACCAACATCTCAGAATGTATTTTTAAATACTTGGCAGTTAGACGCAATGGAAGCAACGCACGGCATCCACGAACTTTTAAGAAAACGGAAGTGTGGGAGAAATACTTCTTTTAATTTCTACTAGAACACATCAAAACACTCAAAGCATTCAAATATCTAGTATTAAATGAAAGAAGACAGAAGGACAAAGCGTTCACTTTCGGCGCTATTCATAGAGATGAATAGGTTCATACATGGACTTCACAATGATTTGCGATGACCTGCCAATGTATTAAATTAATTCATTCCAAACCCACTGTCATCGGTAGTAATAATCACTGTTTCTTGGGCTGTTAAGCCAACACGTAGTTGATACGATGTTTATTCGGCTAATGGCTTCTTCGTTTTTATCAGAGCCGATGATCCCAGTCGTTGGCTCACAGACGTTCGCTTATTTGACATGATGTCGATCGGAGGTATTGCTACTGAGGTTAAATGACGGCTGGTTTGAAAAATTGGTTTTGCTATTCTCTATGTGTTAGCTAACAATAATATCGACTCTGAAAACTTAGCTATTAACGTGTTTTCTTTCTTCGATAAGCTTAACAAAGGTTCAAAACCGGCTTTCTTTTAATCTCGGTATGAATAATCAAAGTGTGTAGCCGGTTTGACAAATATAATCATAAAAAACGATAGAATTTTTATCAACGGATAGTCATTATCAACAGCAACCTCCTTGTACAAAAAACGCTGTCCCGTGAGGTTGTCTCATTGAAACGGTTCTCTACTGAAGAGCTCCGACTCAATATGATGACGAAGATACCAGACAGAGGACGCGAACTGCTGTGGACCATCACATGGAGAGTGCGAACAACTGTAGGCCATTGACTCGGATCATCCGCTCTGATGAAGGCGAAGACGTGGATACGTTGCTCGAATAAACATCTTCATTAATCTCGTGTTAGCTTAACAAATCTAACAAGGTGTCAAGTTAATGTATGTTAACTCTCAAATTTTATATAATACCATAGCCGACTGCAGACTGGGAGGTGATTTCATAGCCTTAGGAGCAGGATAGAGCCAACGACCGTATATGTTACAGGAAACCTCTAGCCACTACTACGCTACATTCTAAATACTTCACACTTACATTGAAACAATAAGAGTGTAGAAGAAGTTCTAATTATCAATAGGTTTTCTTCTCTCACTAACTGATTCATTCTTTTGCAAAACGCAATTAGCTATGATTAAAAATAGATAGCTGGTGTCATTTTAGAGCAAACAAACTACCGAAAAGTGAGGAATAGCAATGTGTTCAGTTGCGTGTAGATTGATAAAGAAATCGAGGCCCGACAGTAACTAGTATGGTGTTTGTGTACCAAAATAACTGGTAGAATCGATATTTTCGTGATCTGTAGGATACGGTAGCAGTTCTTGGATAAGTTGAGGAAAATGTCACTATGCAGTATGAGAAACAAGATTAAGAAGAAGCGAACTACAAGAATGGCGCTGAGCGCTTTGTTCAAAAATTGGACGGGCGCAAACCGGAAATTCGAAGAGTGTTTGGAAATGGGGTCACACAGAGACTTTCGCTATCTGATTATCTCTCGATGAGCAATGAAACCTTAAAATCAGCTATGACACCATAGCAACTAGGGTTTGTTATAATGCTTAGGAATACCCTACAGTCATGTGAGAACGCTGCAACTTGGTTTAATTGTTCAGCATTTTAAATGACCAAGATTGATTTTTTCGCAGACACCCCTTACACACATAAGTGCGTGCTTGTGGATTTGCTGCTTCGTCTTCAGCAACAAAGGAGAGACGTTCAACGGACGGAAGAGCAGTATTTGTAGATGACTGAAATAAATGTGCTACTGTGATCTTTCGACCTGATCTGAAAAAAAGTGCATTGGACAAAATCGAAAAGTTAACCATATCTGCATAGTAGAAATTTGCATTTTAAGCTCGAGTAAAACTTAATCGCAAAAAAAATTAACCATGAGGATGTTGAGATTCTAACAAAATTCGGGACCTCAGGCGCGTTTCGAACTCGCAGCAACCCTTTCCGGGCGCTCAAAAAAATTATATTTTCTGCGTTAATGAAAAGTTCCGTCTTTGAATTAGAAAGCAAATGCTACCAGCTTTTCGTTGCTAACATTTTGATTCAAGATTAAGTACTGGATGCGTGTCATTATTGCTTTATTCCTTTTGAACTTCTCAGACTTTGACTTTCGACCTATGTTTTACACATCACGTTAACGACCAAGTGGCTCACCACGATTGATTCAGTACTTCTCCTGCTCCTTCTCGGAACGGTGTCTGGTACGGCGACCGAAAATGGATCCATAGGATGAAGATTTTGACCATAAGTAATTGAAATGTCCTCTGTATCTGAAAAGTGATAATTCTGATTTACTAGATGAGAAATAGCTTATAATGTATATAAACAAGGCAGCCACACCAGTATGGGAAACGAAATTGAGTAATTACTTGGGCGAAATAATAACAGAGTATTTATAGTAACGTTATTAGTACGACATTGCCGCTTACCAGTTGAAAAATTATAGATGTATAATCATATCTCGTTTACTGATTGTAAACATGTAGATGTATAGTGAAAAGCTCTCGGTGTTGATCAATCCCTGAGGGATGCACCATGCATTCGACTTCATTAAGTATCGTTGGAGGTGACTGAATGCATATCTGGTCTTTACAATGACCTACGGTGCTCTACCGATGTATTGAGCCAGTGCTGGTATCCTCCCAGATAAATCAGTCTTTCGATCCCGAAGAGATGGGTAGACCATGGGCGCGGGGATCGATTCCACACGTGTGTCGCAGTGGCACTTCCAACCACTGCACCACACGCGCCCTGTAGATATGTATTACCATTCTTAATAAAAAAAAACAGCTGCGAAATTGATAAGGGCATGTAGAGCATTAAAAGCCGGATGCCCAAGTAATCGCTAACTGTTAGCCATACAGTTTACTAAAGCAATTTGCCTGTCCCTGAAGCTTTCATAAATTGATAACGAAATTTATGTTTTTGAAAATGCGCCTCCCAGCCACGATAAGGCGGTAAACCGTTTGATGGCTTTATAATTATGATTTCGCTAATTTATGGTTTCGTGTCGCTGTTTGTTAAGGCGATAATGTTGTGAAAAAGTTTGCTTATTCCATTCTCGCTCTCACTAGTCACCTGTAATTCCATTGTCACCGTGTAACTCGAGGAAGTGCTCGCAAACTTCATTCGTCCACTTTCCTAGCCAAAGCTTTCCGGTAGCTCCACTTCGAAGCAAACATGAATCTCATTCTTTTAAGTTTTTCTTTATTGCTTTTGGAAAGACAGTCTTAGGTAAGTCGATAAGCTCTGCTAGATAAGTTTGCCCTAAAGTGGGCTTCCAGGTAGAAATTTTGAACTCTTTCTTAGTTTATGTACTGATCTTAGTCTAAAGTGGGCTCCCAATGTTGAACTCCTTCCGAGCTTAGGTGCTGTCACTGCATTTTTTTTTGTTTTTGTTTGAACCCAAAAACGGCCTAAGCCCCGAAAAGCGCTTATCCATTAAAGCGTTCCCTTCTGCCAGATTGGAAACTGATTTTTTACAGCTTTAGCGGAACAAATGTGATTCTAAAAATTATTCGTCATAATTCTCTTCAAGAGCGCTCTGACTTACCATGGTGGATGTTTCCGCTGATCGGTAAGCGCATCCCAATATTTTTGCCAACTGGTACTGGCAGGTCGATCTCACCTTCAATACCATCCTCAATATTTACGTTTGCTTCCATCTGAAACTTAGCAAGGTGATTAATAGCCAAACATCATTTAAGAATTTCCAGTTTCATCCTTTGACCTGGGCGATGGGCGAATGTGGTGCAGTAGACGGAGGCGCCCTACAACACACACGTGAAATGGATTCCCGCCCCCATGGCTCACCAAACGTTCCATCCCTCCTGGGTCGGCAAATTGGTGCCAGACTTGTCTGGGAGGACAGCAGTACTGGCTCGATACATCGGTAGGCCACTGCGAGTCATTGTAAAGGCCAGATATGCATTCAATCACTTTCAACGATGCTCAGTGAAGTCGAATGCATGGCGCTTCCCTTAGGGGTTGTTAAACGCCGAGAACTTTATTCTTTTTTATTTTTTTATTCTTTATCTCTGCGTTTTGATTCCACTACTGTGCTAGATGGGTAGGGATGGGGCAGTGGTTTGTGAAGGATTGCATCAGGAAGCAAGGTTCGAACTTTCCTCTCCCCCCAATGCTCTCCTCCAATTCAATTGGTAACGCCTTTTCGGCTATCTCCAGTACTGCAAAGAAAACCGACTCGACTAACATTTCACGGCATTCATAAAGACAACGAATTCCTCAAACACGAAAAACAATACGCGAAATATTCGAAGACCACCGTGGACGATGATATGTGCGTGTGTAAAGACGTTTTCCATAAGTTCGCACGTCAACATTCTCCGTTCAGTTTTTCGGGCACAGTATTTATGTCGAATCTCTCTCTCAAAAAGATGATTGGTCGCTTACACCAAATCCAAATGAGTGCGTATACGGATTACACATCGGAGGCTTACAACTGAGCTGAGCATAATTCCGAGGCAAAATCGACACTGGAAGATTCGGCTGTTCATCTAAAATCGTTCAGTCTTTCTAGAAAAATTGCCATGATTAAAGAAGCATTCCTGTTTCGCTCAATCTCGAGCCCTACCCCGTTATTTTGGGAAGTTCGTAAAAAAGAAAGATTCAACGGTCATTACGAAAACACACTTCTGTTCCAGTGGAGTGATGGATCGGACATGATTTTCACAACCTGGTCCTTACGCAATCCCAACATATTCACTGGATTATTGTTGTAGCCGACTTTCGTCCAATAATCCTGAAATACATGATAATATTCCATTTATGTAATGCTCTCTTTTTTAAGTGGTAAACGATAAGCGGTTAACGCTGATGATTTAGTGACTGTGTTACTATTCAGTAAATCCATCTCGCTGTTTGGGGTGGCAAACTTTTGTGACCTAAAGCGATGTGCATCTATGTAGGTGAGATATTATAGTTGGTAAAACAATTGATCACATGGCTCGTGAAGCGGGTGGTCAGCGATACTCTTCAATGATGCACTCGTAATCACTTGTTCGATGGAGGCCGAGTTAATCAATACTTCCACAGCTCTTGTGATCAACAAATTGCTGCTAAACTTCTATGAAAGAAACCTTTCTCCACTTTCGAAAAAGGCGAAGTGGCCAACTGATATTTGAACCTACATACATAAACGCAAATACGTTTGCGGGTGACGGATGAGAGACGAAGGACCAAATGAAAAAAGTGTTGGGATTCACATGCACAGTGATTTTGAGTCATATACTTAAACAAAACTTGAGTAAATATTAGCGGTTTTAATCAATGTGAATCTGAATGCTGTTGTCGAATCAAGGTCAAGGACCGAGTCTAGACGCAGTTTGTGCATTGAAGTTCGTTTCAAACGTAGTCTTTTCGTTAGGTTGTTGTTAATTCATCAGCTTGTTCGATAAGCGGACGGGTAACTACATTTTTTTGGTGCTTCACATATTAAAAATTTCTTAAAAAAATTGTTTTGAAGGACGTTTAGCCTGAGGGAGCTTTGATGGACTTGTACTTCCAGAGAAAACATAAGGGATCATGTGAAAATCAGTAGTCGTCAAAGAAGTAGCACGCAATGTCGAAGATTTGGGATACTGTTGTTGATCGTGAAAGAGCCTAACATGACACCTTTTAGTGATCAAATTAATGAACTATTTACCGAAAAAATTTCATTGAAACTTCTTCGAAAACATTAATTTAAATGACCAGTGACTTTGCTTGCGTAGTCTGAAAACCTGGAGGAATCGAATAATGGAAACGCTCTGGTATGTAAAAACAAATCGACAAAGTTCTAAACTGATGTAAGCCTAAGTGTTAATAAGTATGACTTATGGCATCACCGTCGACACAGGGCTAAATTTTATTAGGCCGCCCTCAATTTCGAGTGAAGAAAAAAAAACGCGCTATAACTGTGCAAGCGTTTGTGCTATCTAACAATTGTGCGCTTACGTTAACTCTTTAGAAGTTCATTTCGTTCGGTATTTCAAGATGTTGTACAAAAATTCAAGATGCCCCGCGATAGATCGAAGCTCTTCTCTAAACCTGCAAAGTTTTGAATTCCTGAAATATTCTAGACATAAAGAAATTACCTTCTGCTATCGAGAAATCGGCTTCAACACCGAAAAGGTTAAAGTGCTGAAAGAATTTCCTACATTTGAACCTAGTTGATTATCATAGCTGTCATCATGATAAATAGCTTGTTTAGTAACTGCCACGAGCGACTTTCTATTAACCTCGGCATTGATCAAGTAATTTTCTTCGTATTTTTGTTGAGCAAACGCGAGGTGTTATTATTCTTTGTTCACGATTAAGCTAACGTTTCGGCGGATTTCGCCTTCTTCAGAGCCTGGAAAGGTCAAGTTGATAGCAATCCACTCGGCCAGACGCCTCCATAACCAAACAAAGAAACTCCAAACCAAGATTTCAATCACTTTGAACACAACTTTGCACACTCACCGCTTCCTATGAGGTTTCCACTAAGTATGTCACGTAGAGACCAACCGCACAGAAATCACATGAAAGTATAATGTGCCCCTCATTTCAGAAAAGGTGATAATGAGGCATTCTTCCCTGCTGTTCATTTTCGGATTTCTGGAATTAATCCAGAGTGCCTCGAGAGTTTTTCGCGCCTGTGTTTTTGATTCGCGTGCGAGGATCGTGACACATACTTCGAAGTCGTCCCCGTTATGTCTCTGGGTCCTATGCGTGCCTAGCGAGGTATTTGGTCTATTTTTGCCGGCTAGGTGTTCTTTCATGCGAACACAGAGGGGTCTACCCGTTTCGCCAATGTATTCGTCACCACACGTCTTACAGGAGATCAGATAAACTATACCCGAGCTCATGCAATCACCGTCTCTACCACTGGGGCAAATTATGCAATTTTGAGTTACACATAGACGGTCATATAGGCGGTTACGAACTAACTGGCGCTTAAGATTACTCGGTGGTATTTCAACTACGCTCACCGAATTCTCCAAGCCAGCCCTTCTTAAGCAGCGTTTTATAGCTGTACTTATATCATTTGAGATGAAGGGTAGGATAAACGGGACCCTTCTATCGCTAGAGTTGTCGTTTGAAAGCCTACGATTTCCTCTACACCTATCCTGAGCTACAGTTTCGTAGCCATTAGAAATGGCTATTAGCTTGTTTAATGTTTATAATATAAGAATGTCGCCAGCTTCATGCAAGATTACAGCCAAGCTTAGTATCCTACCACAATATCCTACTAGTTTGCTGCTTATTTAAGGAAATACCAAACAGAAGCCAATTGAAACCTAAACACAAACCTGGAATCGTTCAATGACATGTCCTCCAATATCCAGAAATCCCCACCACGGAATGGGCACCTTGATATCACCACCGCTGTGCTAAAGTCATTTCTAAATTAATCAGAAACACTACTTTTTTACGGTGCAAATAAAAAATCTGGTAATCTGCGCTGGTGAACCGGTAATTGTTGAGATGCTGTGCTTTCCTTCACTCTTTACTATTTGCTAAGCCACACAAGTGAAGCAAAAAACTTTTTTCACCGGATATTTACAAAGCACTGAAGTGAAACATTTTTTTTTGCCAGTTTCGCATAATAGTCGCCTGGTTTTCAATTAACAAAGAACGGTCCACACTTACCCGTCCAAAGGATGTGTCATATGTAACGGCTGCCATATACTGATTAAGCGTCGGGTAGATAGGCCAATAGTTGGCATTGGGACTACGTCCAGGTAGCGGTGAATAATCACATAAAAAAATTGCTATTAGATTGATTTCACTAGGTTACGTACTACAATTATCACGCTATTAGAAATTAGTGTACGATTTGTGATTTTATCTGCCTTCTATATACTTTAGTAAGGGCTTTTAGAACTCCTACTTGCTTTACTTTCGCTCCGTAGATGAATTATGCTATAAACCTTATTTCAACAAGCCTTACTGGTTAGAAAATCAGAAATCAAAATAGGCATCTTGACCTAACCTACAACTATGAATTCAATTTAGACGCAAGCAACGGAAACACTTTGAATTGTTATAGAGATATGATGCCAAGGGCGTGTTAACAAGCGCATAGTGCAACGTTGATTTGGAAAACTTCGAGATGGGAAATCGACATTGGAGGCAAGGAGGGTTATGGAGCTCCACCTGCTGTTGGTGAAAACAAGTTGAAGGGTTTTGTGAAATCATTGAAGCCAGTATACTCAGAACTGTTCGAGAACTTGGAGAAGAACTCAGTGAAAGCATCTAGACTGTAGCATCTAGGAATAATCAAAGAAGCTAGTGATCACTTTTGCAGATGTTTAATGAAGGTCGGTTTGAAAATAGCATCTAGAAATGTTTGGAATTCGAAGAATTTAGACAAATAAAGACCACTCAAATTTAGTTTTCCTTACCACCATTTTCATTTGTTTACGTTCAGCTTTTTTAGGCTGATCATACTTTTTTCTCCTTCTTAACGAGCAATTACTTATCGGTTTTGCAACAAAAAACATGGAAGTTCTTATGATGAAAGTGTGTTTCAACAGCGATACTAAAATGTGAACAAAAGTCGGCACTCCATGTGGACTTCGAGCACACGATTACCTTAACCAGGCCTCAAGTGATATCCACTACACCAACCGGGGCCCTTGTTTTACCGTTTTTCAGCTAGTTTTTAACTATATTGGTGCTTCTAACAGTTAGATTTTGAGGATAATAATCATGGAAGCTCAAATCAGTATTAAAAGCAATTAAGCTGAAGCTGTACTCGAAATGACCTATTTCCAAATAGTGTTCACGCTCCGTTTTTTATTCATAGCAGGGTGCGACGGCTTCGAAACCCAAGCGAGTGGCCGAGTATTGCTCATACCCCAACATCCTTTTCTGTAATTACACAAAATTTCTACAATTATTTCTGTAATCGTACAAAATTTCTGTAATCGTACAGAACGGGCATATTGTGGCCGCCAGCCAAAATATAGCTGACAAATGTTGCTAGCGTCACTGCAATTTTGGTCTAATTAATGTCAGTTGCTTGTGCCTTAAGTAACTGTGGAAAAATAGCATTGCATCAGACGAAATTCCGTGCCTTGTTTCCGTATATAAGCTCGTCCAAAATCATTGCCATTTGGTTAGGTACAAACTCTTTTGCGTGAGCTCCAAGCCTTTCTCCCCTCGCTCCTCCACCTCCCTCCGACTGCTTCTTCCTACCTTGTCGTACACTATATTCGCGTTGTAATAAACCTTCCATAAACCGTTGCGTCACAATCACTACGGCTGACAGGTCGCGAGCAAACTCCTAACGTTTGGCAATCCCAAACAATCCTTGTGACTGTATTTCCTATTCTTTCTCGCCTTAAAAAAGAATAGGAAATGTGTAAAAGTTAGAACGGTATTTCCACAGCCGTGAAACAAAACCGGAGGTACTTTTCTCTTATTTAAGCAACAATTTTATTTATTAAAACAAATATTGCTTAAGAACAGGTGTGTACTTTTTTAGTACGAACCTGGAAGTCTAAATGGTTTTGGGGCGACCTTTCCAGATCTGTGCTTAAACAGAGCTTTATGTTGGGCTCGCCTAATTTCGGTGTCCTTCTAAAATATGCATTAATGCACATATGAAAAGTGGAACTGAATATTTAATTTCTGGTAGCAATAATGAGAATCAACTCCTAAAGTGAAGAAGAGTTAGAAACAATAGGAATACCGCGGTCAGAAGGAAATCACTATAATGTTCATTAATCGTGTGAAATCCGCAATGATGATAATCGTCCCAGCGATGAAGTGAATAATATTCACGATAAAATCAACCATTGATATTAAACTAGGAAGTTTCAACAGTTAGAACTGGTAACATAGGTTTTCAGCTTGTTGCGTAAGTCTCGAACGATCGTTCGACTAATTATTAGAATCGACATTGCGTTAAAAATTCGTCTAACCTAGCAAACCTACGAATTTCCATGAGATGGGTTGTAGTGAGTACGTGGAGGCACTGTGACAAGGCTATTTAGGAATTATCTGGGAAAGCATGCTGAACCAAAACCCAACACATCATTGGGAAGAGGGCACGCACGTGCTCAAACGGCAGATGGTGCCATACACTGTAACCAACTTTATCTATTGATGACGGTTGCTAAACCACGAAATGACGTAAAAAGTGCTTATGACCCTACGATACGTAAGGATGTCATTCATCTGATGCGGCATGCAAGTATTAACAGGTAATTCCTGATGTCGTTTCCATTTTCGATTAGAAATATTAGTGAAGCTCTAACAATAAGTGTAAAGTACTCAGCGATCAATTGATGACACTAAATTATGCACCCTTTAGAAAAGTTACAAACAGAGCAGCACACAACTGAACTGCGCCCGATATAGCGTTTTCAATAAAAAAAAGTACAAGTTTTGGCAAATCATCTTTTTTTTACAGGCTTCATTAACCACTTTTCCATCAGAAGTCGAGAAATTGGTACAAAACTTCTATAGAATCAGCTGGGTCTCTCCAATCTGCGAATGTCAGGGACTGTCCTGATTACATCGTGGGAAAGCTTTAGCACGGCTGTTCCTGGACTCCAAAAAGAACCGACTCGACCAGCAGTCAACAGCATTCATGAAGAAGAGCAAATATCCTCAAGCATCGTCTGAGGCCACGTTAAAATTTGAGGTCAACTGTGGAATATGGATGCAAGAAAACGAATTGGATGCTAGAATTGCTGGAAACCGCATAATGTATGACTTCGGGTCCTGTTTGCAAACCAAACTTTCCCGTCTGTTTTGAAAACGTCGTTCCATAGAAATATGGTTTACCCAATCTTCTACTTTCAAATGCAGTATTTTTTTTCAAAAGATCACATGTTGCGAAAAAATAAGAGAAAGTAAGATTAAAAAGTAAATCCTTGTTTTCATTTATTTTCCATGAGTCGGCACCATTAACACTTTCGCGACGGCGTGTAGTCTGGAGTTTGCTGCAGACTGAATGACGCTTAATTTTCAACCATTATGGAACAGCTGGTTTTGTGAGAATAAACAACAATTTTTCGATAACTGCGGAATTTCGTACATTTTCAACATGGATTAATTGTAAAAAAAACTTTGTTCAGTGACTGCCACGACCGACTTTCTATTAACTTCGGCATTGATCAAGTGATTTTCTTCGTATTTTTGTTGAGTAAACGCGAGGTGTTACTATTCTTTGTTCACGATTAAGCTGACGTTTCGGCGAATTTCGCCTTCTTCAGAGCCTGGAAAGGTCAAGTTGACAGCAACTCACTCGGCCAGACGCCTCCATAACCAAACAAAGAAACTCCAAACCAAGATTTCAATCACTTTGAACACAGCTTTGCACACTCAC